GCTTGAGACTAGGCTTAACTGAAAATAACATATTGATTTCAACCTCTATCACACAGAGTACTTTATGGTTTTATTACTACTCTTTCAGGATAAATCAGAACAGATTTTAAATTAAATGTCAAACGCAGAATAAAAATTTAGAGAAAGGGGGCTTACTGCTTAGAGGCAGCTATTTCTCATTTCAGTTTACTATATATTTTCCAGGGAGTTCTCTGAATCATTACCCTGCTGTCTGCTACACAGACAAGTCACAAATCATTAAAAAAACAGTATTGCAATGAAAAAAAAATGCACTTTACCTTGGCTAAGTGCATTTCCTCTTAGATATCAAGTGCACCTGTCAAGCCGGAAGTTGGAGAAGACAACTGAGATCTGTTGCAAGGGCTTGCATGAAGTTTTTGTTAGTTTTAGAGAGGAAAGGTTGCTATATCTTTTTAATTCTGAAAATACACCTTGAGCTTCCTAAGATAAAGGTGTATTTCCTAGACAACTAAACTAGCAACCACAGCATGGCCCAGGGGCGTTAGGGCTGATAACAGCAGGAGCTATCTTCCCCACCATATAGTGTTAATTTTGTTGATGCAGTCAGATTAGGCCTTATAGATTGGCTAGGTAAAGCTATTTTGTCTGTTCTTTTCCAGGGTAGTTGAAACTGTCAGCTGCTTCTAACAAATTTTAAATATATAGAATAAACAATGAGCCACATACCAAACAAAGAACCAAACTCAGAAGTTTTTAAACAAATGGACAAGCATAACACAACAACTGGCTGCCAGCCCCAGCACAAATCACTTTCTGCAGTGAAGGGCATCACATTTTAAATCTTCCTCCAGAAATATTACTTCTGTCCTCTTAAACTCCCACTCGTTCTCACTGCTCAGGAAATCAGCAAGACTCAGTCACTGGTCCTAAGTGACCTACCATTCAGTAGTTCTTGTCATCAGGGACATCCCAAATGGAGAAAACATGAAAGAAAAGCAAAACTCCAACAACTTCCTACTATTTTTGGGGTAACGGGTCTTCTAAAAGATGGATCCTCAGTTCCAGCTCAGTTTTTAAGAGAAAGATGAGATGGTTTAGCTTACAGTGTGGCATAACGCATAGTGTATAATTCAGAAAAACTTCCCATCATCTGCTGCAATCAGATCCAGAATTAAATGCTCAGATAATGGGAGCTATAGACAGACAGATATGTGTTTTATATAGGCTATAGCAAGCAGATATATAAAACTCACCACAGACAGCTTTGTATATATTGAAAGTCTGAATAAATTGTTCTTGAACCTTTCATCACCCGTTTATGGGGAGGAGGAGGAATGGAAGGAATAAGTTTGAAATCCACAATAATCAAATGATACATCTGTCAGTCCTCTCACTCGTTCCCTCTTTTTTCCCAAGCTACAGTACTTAAAAAGATTCAAAAACAGAACGTTGCAGATATTTTTATATTTTTGCAAGGTTTTAAATGTGTAGATCAGTACATTCAAAGCTATTGCTTCCCTGAGCATAGCTACCTTGAGGCACATTAAGAATCCAATAAGAAAAACAGCAATGTAAATACATAAATGGAATCAGCCATTGGAATAATCTCCCCAGGGAAGCGGTGAATTACTCAACACTGGACACTTTTAAGATTCAGCTGGACAGCGTGCTGGGCCATCTTGTCTACACTGTGCTTTTGCCAAGAAAGGTTGGACCAGAAGATCCTTGAGATCCCTTCCAACCTGGTATTCTATGATTAAATAGTCCATATCCCTGAGAAAGCTGAAAGACAGCTGCAATGGGAATCATCTTGAATTTGCTTATTGGAAAGAATTTAAATTCACACATAGATTTCTTTTTAACTTAATAAAACCAAACATGACTAGAAGGTGGAAAATCAGAGCTCATCCCTGTGCTACAACAGGGGCCTGCAGAGCAAGGTTCTGGTGGACACGCAAACCAGCAGGCATGTCACCTACACCTGTGTGGCTGGGTGTAGGTCAGAGGCACATAAGCCCTGCCAGGTAGACCACAGCAGCTGATGGCAACCCATCTGTGCTGTGCACTCACAACAGCTTCTGCGCTGTCCCCGATTTACCTTCATGCCGAAAGTGAATATCGTGATGACAATCTTAAACACCAAAGCCAAGGCGAGCTGCCACATGGCAGTGTAGACTCCAGGGCCAGCAGGTCTGTCAGGAATGTCATCCACTGGCCGGGTCATGTTTGGGTCATTGATGTAGTCGCAGAGCTGTGAGGATTCCAGGGCACCGCAGTCATTGAACAGCTCTGAGATCAGCTCACTGGTACTCCTCCGGGTGTAGGGGTTGGGGTAGGCGATGATGGCGGTGATAGCTGTTATCACTATAACCTCCAGGACTGGGTATTTCCCGAGCCTGGTGGTTTTTCGCCTCCTGCACCAGGCAATGTTGCATCGGATAAAGAGGGTTCCCCAGAGGCCACCGAAGACGCCGAGCAAGATGAAGGGGAAGAGCTCAGCCATGTACCAGGGGGTGTGGTACTCCACGTAGAACAGGACCAACCGGCTGTTTCCAAAAGGATTGATGGACCTCAGTGTGAAGGCAGCCACAAGAGCAGCAAAAAATGACCTCCAGAGGGTTTTTAGAGGAAAGTAGTAGCTGACCTAAAACCAAGCAGAGACCGTAAACACTTCACTGAGTGTGACAGAGGGTGTTTGCTTTAACTATTCACTGGAGCACGGTGCACAGTAAGCCATCACTGTGTGTTTCATTCTGTGACTCTACATCTGTTTTTACTGGGAACACCAGTCCTTACCACAGCCAGAACACGTTCACAAAGGTATCAGAAAAGGCATTTTCAGATTTCAGATAGGGAGCAGCAACCAGTGAAAAATCGGTAAATCTAAATCCAAAGATGCTGGCTAGAGATGATAAGATGGTTGCTCAGCAGCTCAGCCCATGCACCAGCAAGCTGAAAGCTGGAGAAAGCTCAGTGCAGTGATACATTTCCAGATTGTGTTCATTTATAAAGAAAGGTGCTGCTCTTTTACTCAAATTATGCTAAAATTTCCTATTACTAGAAATCAAAGATTGTTTTTGCTTTAGAAGATAAATAAGCATATAAATATTTGAAAAAAATAAAGATGAATATTAGAAAAAGGCATCAAGTGAAAGTCTGTTTATTGAAGCAACTGAACTGCTAGGTCTCACCTCTTCCAGACTGAAAAGCACACCTCCGATCGGAGCCCCAAAGGCAACAGAAACTCCTGCGGCGGCTGCAGCTGAGAGCACCTGCAGAGCAAATATTTGCATACAAAGCGTGAGTCCTGTGAAACACCGAGTATCTGGACAGGGAAATTACAGGTGATCTGAGCCAACCTCACCTCTCTCCTCTTTCCTTCGTTCTTGCTGTACTTTGAGAAAAGGCTGCTGAAGAAGTTTCCGCAACAACAGGCCACGTGGACTAACGGCCCCTCTTTCCCAAGGCTGAGGCCTGAAGATACCACCAGAACCAAGGTGACTGTTTTGATTAAAAGTGTCCACTTTCCCAGGTAGCCCCTAATAATGAACCCACTCAAGATGGTTTTTATCTGGAAAGCAGGAAGAACATATTGAAGAGCTGAAGAAACCTTTTCTACTCTGAACTTGTAAGTGGTGTTAAAACCCCAGCAGAGTTTACAAAATCGCTGACTGCTTGAAAAGAGAGTGAGGGAGAGAAAGAAACCTAGGCAGGGCAACTTTCCCACCATGATAGCTGAGCAGGGGTTAAGCAGACCACACTTTTACTGTTCTTATGGGTGGTCCCCTGCATCGGTAAGGAGCCTTACAGAGACCAGTAGGAATATGAAACTGTTATATATCTCCTTGGCTTACAGGATCAGAGTTAAACTAGACCCAACTTCAACAAAGCAGAAAAAAAGCAAAAACCACCACAGATTTTCCCCAGTTAAAACAAGAAAAAAATATGTTCTAAATATTTGGAATGGCCATGCCATAAAAGCATGCAAGTATTATGAAATGAGAAAGTCCAAGAGATTCTTTTTACACTTTTCCTCTTAATTTTGCATAAGAGTGGCTAGAATAGAGCACAGTGTATGTGCATGACACATAGGCTGCAGGGTGGGATTTGGGTTTGGACTCTAGCCCTGGAAATGGACTGGAGCTGAGCATCACCTCACATGAGAGATTTACCACTCAGAAACTAGATTTACAGTTAACTATAAAAACTTCTTAAAAACACTTACAGATACAGCAAGCATGTAACAAACACACATGTGACTACTCTGAAACATGGAAATGATTTAAATATTTCAAATTATTTGTGGTGGGGTTTTTTCCTGACTGGTTATGAAACGTTTGGATGTTTCTCCCAGAGATGAAGAAAAAAGTATGCCAAGATTTCTAAAATTTAGGCTGTTGATTCTGTCTGCCAGATTCCTAAGTAATAATCCCAGTGGTTCTATAGCACTTTTAACAAAAGACTGCCCTGATTTCAAAAATTTTGAGTAGCTATGCTGTTTGAATTACAGAGTTCTTCATTTTAACAGCTTAAGTAGGGACTGAGGCTCAGTGTGTAAAATACTAAAAACCAAGAAGAGATTTTGGCTGCCATAATGCTATCATGCTAGCATGAAATGGTGTACAAGGAGGACACAATTTGCATAAGATGGACAGCTGGACACTTTTCAGGCATCACAAATGATGGGCATCTCACATCTTCAGTAGCTTAGGAAATCTTAGCTTTGTAGCTCTCCATTTCTTATTTTATTTTGGTTGTATTTAAAGCCTAGCCTAGAAAATGACTGGTTTTGCAACTAGCCCAAATAATTTAATCCAAGGAAAATCCTATAGAATCTTCTAGTGAATATGAGCCTCAGCCATAAAATGTTGGAGTCCACAAAGTGATGACTGGGAGTCAGTGATTTTTAATTCAAGTTCTGGCAAAGAAGTAGTATGTACATTAACCTGTCACAGTGGCATATGAACATTTTCTACTATGAAAAATTTAGATGGGCACCATAAAGGCACGTTAGACAAATGAATGAAGGCAGATGAAATGGAAAGGCAATCTTCTTGTTCCTATACTATCTCATAGTACAGCTCTGGAATGGGAAAAGGCAGCAAATTATCTTTTGTTTTGTTTGTTTTTTGGATGTTCATCCACAAAGAGAAACTCACCTCTGGGATTCCAGAGCCGCAGGCATAGGGAGCAAACACTCTGACCAGGGAGACTGCCAGGAAAGCAAAACACAGAGCCCACATAATGTATAGAAAATAGTTTAGAATGTAAGCACTTGCACCCTAGGAAAATAACAGTAACAAACATTGTTAGACAAATGCAGGTTGGTAAATCTCACACTTCTACTAGGGATCATGATGGCATGGAGCCTGGTCTTCCCATTCACGTGCTAGTTGCTGCTTTTCCTGAGGAAGGACACATGACTTTATATACACAAACAATTTTATTACTCATGGAAAGAAGCAGCATACTAATATATACCTAACCCAGTTCATACAGTCTCTTTGCAAAGGACACAAACACCTTTAAAAGAGCATCTTTCAAGCACTAAAAAATTAATCAAATCACAAAAAGTTCCAAAACATCAAACAAATCTGTTATAAGGACAAAAGTAATTGGTGATAAAAAGGCACCTAATGAAGGAATCTGCTGTTTTATCCCATAGTGGGTGATATGGGATGAGACCCTGATACATCTCTTTCTGATGGCTGGTATTCAGAGGTCAGCTCTCCATGCAGATGCTGATCTTTTCAAATGACATCCCTGTGTATGCCAGTTCAGTTCAAAAATAGGAAGGGTAAAACCAAAACAAATTCTTTCCTTCTATATGATGCTATATGTGATAGGATTGTAAATAATTTGAAGACACAATAGCTTGTCAGATCCCACTCAGGCACATCTCAATCATTTTTGCCCTCATATTTTAAAAACATTTCAGTCAATAATAAAACCTGTCTTCAAATTTAGTAACTTTACTGGCAGAATGGAAATGCTAATGATTATTAGCAACAGTTGACTGTGCAGTGCCCTAGTGAAAGCACAGTCAGTAGTGACCTTCAAGCTTTCTACCTGTCTCCAATGGTCAAGTCAAAACTTTTGTTAAAATTTGCCTTAGAATATCCTTCCCTCTTCACAAGCATAATTTTTGGATTATTTTCAAAAACCCCACCTACACAGACAAAAGAGAATCTAGTCAGAGACAACAGACTGATACAAGGAGCTTAAGCCTTCAAACAATCTCCTCTAGCAACATGACACTACAGAATAAAAACCAAGATGAACCTCAGTGCATGAATTGGTGTGAATCCTTCACCTCTAAGTGAACTCTTCCTACCGGATGCAATCCCAGCTGCTCAAGAACATCAGGGCCCCTGTCTTTGCTCTGCAGGACAGCAGCCTGGATATCAACATTATGATAAATCAAGTAGGAAAACAGGCATTAATCAGTTGTATCATGTCTTCAGTTCGTAAAAATACCTAGAGCTGAAAAGTGTCCCTGTATGCAAGCCTGCAAGGAATCAGCCTTTAACAGCACAACTGCTTGCTAACCTCATTTTCCAGGTCTCCATCCAATTGAAAAGACAGTAAGGGAACCACTGCCCTTATCCTTATGGATATATTTGGAAGAGGGGCAATTTGTCAAGGTCCTCTTGTGCTTAGCAGATGGTTTTGCTGGTAACAGCAGAAGAGCAGTACAATGCCATCCCCCAATACCCCGAGACTAAGCAGTCATACAGTGATTGACATCCATCTGTAATAACCACAGATCTTTGTTGCTACAGCTGAAGATGGTCTCATTTCCTCATAAATGTCTTCTCCTAGTGCTTTCAATTACAAACAGCTATGGCAATATTTACTCTTCCTCTAGAGAAAATTCTGGATATGTTTCCCCAGGGCAAAATTCTCCTGTCAGTGCAAAACTCGAGTACCTGCAACCACCAACAGCATTACAGCAATTGAGCCCTACAATGTTGAGCAAAAGCTGCAATTTTGCTTCGAAATTCACTGGAGTCAAATATCTTTGTTTCTTTTTACTTCCTCTTCTTTCACATCTCAGAAGTTACATGAAAACCATGTCAGCTTGTTATTGCAATCACACATACACCTACAGAACTGTGGCAGGACCCCAGAAGAGTCTATGGTCGGTTCAGTCTTATCCCTCAGGACAACTCTCATTGTTACATTTTCCAGATATCTGTCATTCTGCAGGTCCAATTGCGAGAGTTTCTGATGATTAATAATAAGAAAACCTTTGGGAAGTGAAGTAGTAGTAACTCGGTATAGCAAACAGCTCATTTCTCAGTCATTACATGCCATTGCTAAGGCCTTGAACCAGTGAAAGTCCTAAGCACATACACTGGAATCAGAGACCAAAAATGCTTGTCAGCAGAGATGATTCTGCCAAGACCTTTTCCACTAGTAGCTTGTAGGGCTCACCCTGGCAGCAATAACACTGAAGCATGCAGGTGAACTGAGCAAAACTTTGTATTTTAATTTGCAAGACCTAGCAGTATTTGAGATCTGGTGTCAGTCCAATTTAGGTACAAACTGAGCACAACTGAAATCAACCCTCAAAAAATCAGAATACTGAAATAAAACACATCCCTCAGGATGCCACCCATGGCTGACCAATGCTTGTTTTCTCCAGAGGCCAAGAGCTCTACTCTAACTTGAGTTGGGATCTCAGAGCTTGCAGACTCTCTCCGGTGGGTGTTACAAACTGGGGAGTACATTCCAGGTATAGCGGGACTTCCTTGTCTTGCAAGTCTCAGCATCTTGACAGGAGATCCAGAAGCCCTGGGATGGGAATCCAGACCATTGCTGGATCCAGTGTCATGAGCCATGGAAGATACAGGACCCTTTCCTGTGCTTTGGATAGGCATGAGGCACCAGAAATGGAGTCCTCAGCTCCAGTGAAGTTAAAGTTAGGACCAACCTGGATCTGCAGAATAGGGAAGCTCCGCATCACCAGGTACAGGCTAGAGATCAGGCTGAAGTGGATGGCATCTGATGTACTTTAACACATCCACTCCTTCAGTGAATTTGAGGTTTTGAAACTCTCTTGCATAAAAAAATTCTTCACCTGCTTTTTAGAAGCAGTTCAGGAGCAGAGGGACAAAGGTTATCATTGGCCTACAAAACAGTGATTAGGGAAGAAAACATAGCCTGGTGTGTTTCAGATGTGCTATTATGTTTTCCATAACAATTTATATCAAGACTCTGCTTTGGGCTCATTTTGTAGGAGGACTAGAATTGAAACATTTTTCAAGAGATGCCATAGGAAATGTCACAATTCTCAGTGACAATGTATGTATAGGTTTTCTCACAGCCATAAATTGTCAAAACCACAAGGAAGAACTGATCTAAATCTTAGTCTTCAAAATGTCAAATTTAGTTGTTTGTGATGAGAAAGAGTCAGTCATACATAAAAAAGACACGTCTGACCAGAGTACCTTTAGGGAAACTATTCCAAATAATTTCTGTCTAAAATGTGCTCCAAATTAGCCCTTCTGTGCACTGTGCATTTCATGGGGCCGTTATCAAATACCAGGCACAAAGTGAAGAAACACACCAAAAAAAGAGGCAAAATTATCCTGAAACACGGTCTAATTCAGTGTATTTTGATCCCTCCTGGAGTCCTCTACAGCTACAGGAATCATGCAAAACCTGCCCATATTATAAGCCTTTTGCTGTAAAACAGAATTTTTACTTTCCATGTTCACATTTTTGTTGGGCTTTGCCTGGGATTTCAATGTAACAGTAATAGACAGCTATATTATTAATATTTACACCATCCATCAGGCCATGGCAGCCAGAAACCCACAGATCTTAGAGGCCCATTTGTTTTGAGAAAGAGCCTAAAACTAAACCAAGATAAACCTTTTTTTTCCACTGTGACAGTATACTAGAGGGTAAGAAGCCCAATTTGAATACAGAGTGAGTAAAGTTTCACAGTGCTCACCTAACTGATAACCTTTCTTATCAGCCCCAGCATAAAACGGTCATGACTCCTGAATTTGGGTAGCAGGTGAAAGCAATAAATTTTCTCAAGGATATGCTCTGTTCATAAATCCCAGCCTTTCAGAGTAACAGCATGTCAAACACATGCACAGGATTTCCAAATCCCCTAACAATTGTAACGTTCTCCTCTTTTTTCCCTCCCCACATTTTTTTATTCTCTTAAATTACAACATTGTCCCCCATCCTGCAACTTTTTACCAGGGTAATATTTCTTCACTGTTACAAAGACACAACCACCCAAAGCATCTGTTGATGAAGACCAGCGTGAACCTAGCAGACCTCTGGCAAAGGGAAGCACGGCACTGTGGACTGGCAACTGTGCAGAGAGATTTCTGCCTGCGATCAAATGGTGGGAATATTCAGGAGCAGTAAGCAGCTCGCTACTCTCACTATGGTTAATTAGAACTATGGAAAATTGAGCTACACACATTCACAGACGCACTCGTCTAGTACTACTTGTTCTATAAACCTAAAGTGGCACTGAAGGGAATGTCAATGACAAACTTATATGGCAAGGAAGGTGCCTCAAACACTTTCTGCAGGACCAGACCACCTCCACACCGGGGGAAGATCCGAGACAATCTTTCCAAGTCACCCATTTTTTAATTGCCTGGCTGAAGATGATTTATCCTATAGAGGTATATATTTTCTTCTCCCATTATTGACCAAACTGCATTATCAGATTTTTTTTTTTAAAGTCCCATTACATACTTAAGGCAGCTCTCTTCAAAGCCACATTCATCCCACCTCTATGCCGTATTCAATTTTTGTCATAGTCAAGTCACCTGTGGAAATGAGGGGGAGGGAGATTCAAGACAATAATTCTGCCCAAACATTCAAGTTGTCAAGGAATTAATATTATTCAATACATTGAATAGCTTAAGTTGAAAATAAAATGTCCTTTTCATATTTTTTATAAAAGTATCATCTGCTAAAAGGACTTCCTATAGAAAGGCTTCTTCTGGTGTCTTCAAAACAAAATTTTCACCTGCTTTGTTTTGAAACATTCTTTGTATTTAAAAGTAGTATAATTTTTTTAAAAAGGATAGGAAAAAAGTTCTCAAAATACAAGTTTCATGTAAGCCTGCATCACCTTTTTCCCTTCCTGTCTTCCTCTGCAAATTTTTCACTTTGGCCATCTCCCACAGAGCCCATTATTTCCCCAGCTTTTGGCACTAGCTAAATATTTTGCTATCTAATAGAGAAACTGATTGCAGGGGCATAGCAAGCAGTTCCCACTACTACTCACAGCACTTGAATACATAAAAACCATCTGCAATCCTGAAAATTTCCTTTTACATGTATTTGTCAGGGATCATGGTTTTTGTCCCATAAAATTGGGTTTAAAAGAAAAAAAAAAAATGGGTAGCAGTTCAGGTCCCCTGGTGATTACGTTATGAATGTTATGAAACACTTTTGGTTTAATATTGATAAAAAGAGAGCTATCTCGCAGTTTTCCAATTTCCATCACACACAATACTGAAACAAAGGGACCGTTCCCACATTAAGCAGATAATGCTTGTGGAAATGCCTTTTTTTGCGAGGTCTTCAGTTCATTACTTTCTCTTTCAGAGGAACTCCCTGCAGGGAACATCGGCAAGTATGAAAAAAGGACATTCCCTGGCCTGCTGTGACCCCAACCTAATCAGGTCTGCCGTACCTCAGACTGGCTTACAAGAAGTTCAGACCATTTCTGCCACAGGGGACATTTGTCCCTGTCATCAAATGTCGTTTCGTTAGACGTCCAGCAGCACTGCTCGTGGCTGTACCAGAAGGCAGACAGGCAGACACCCTCTTTCAGGTCTGTCATCCAATCCACAGCTAAATCTATCACGCCGGCTAATGTGCCTGGGAAAAGAAATGCAGAAAAAAAAACCCGTGGCATTAAAAAATACCAAGTTGCAAGGAAAATATATCTAATTATAATAACAGCAAAAAAAAGTTATTTGGGGAAGCAGCTGCAGTGTAAGCACTGATATACCAAAGAACTGGGGGCAAGAGTGAGTATGCAAAGAAACAGCCACACCAGCTTGTTGTCTGACCTTCAATGCTCTCTCATAAGTTTTATTTTAAATATTATCATTTTCATACTGACCAGTTGCCAAGCAGGGAAGGCATAACTGATGTAGGGCCTGATCCTGCAGCCTGTCCCAGGCTGGTGCACCATTTGGCTGAGATAAGCAGGACTCCATGCAGGGTCTCTGTACACAGACTAAGCTGTGGGTCTGAAACCACACTCTGTATTTCAGGGGTAGGGGAGGATGAAGAGGATACTGGTGTTATCCTATAGCCCTACTGGTCCCACTGCAGCAACCTTTTATAAGGATAATTTCAGTACAGAAACAATATGGATGCAAAATTCTGACTTAATGAATTTAACGGTGTCAGGCTCTCGATGTGTGCATTCATCAGCCATCCAAACACGCAGAATAAAATTATCCTTCAAATCCTCTCGTTACCAAACAAATCCCTATTTCAGTTTTTCCCTGGTAAGTGCACAGAGCTACAGTGACACCCGGTGGCCACCAGAGCCAGACAGGGGTAAACTTGATGTGTGCAGACACAAAAAGATCTTGCTTTTCTAAGGCATTTGCTCATCAGCAATCATAACCTGCCCCAGCACCCTCAGAGCAGATGCGTCCTCATGAATGCAACACCAGCAGGGAGGGGGAGGTGGGGTGCAGCCAGAACACAGCAAGGCAGACCTGCCTTCTGTCCCTGTGTCCCTAGGAAAGCATTACACCACCAGCTGATAGAAAAGACATTCAGTGTTTTCCAGTTCCCTCTCATATACAATGGAAAGTAGCGGTCAATTACATTTTTACTGGTAGTTATTAATACAATTTCAGGAAACAGGTAATGAATTTGAATAGAATTCATCAGTGCATTTCAGTAGGACTAAAACACTGAAAAAATATTTTGGAAAATGCAAAATGGTTTGGTTTTATGTTTCCAAAACTTTTAGCTTTGTGGCTTCCGCTAAGAATGTAATTACTTGAAGCAGGAGTAGGGGCTGCTCCCCCTTTCCCTAGCAGCTGGGATACAGGTGGGTTCGAGAGACAGTTTATTTGACCTGGAACTAAAATTTTCTGCTTTTCATTTCTATGAAAGAGAACAAAACAAAACAAAACAACATTCCAAATTATTTGGCCATGTGGAACTTGTTTTTTAATCCAAAGAACAGAGAAACCCCATAAGTGTTCTTCTAGCAGAGAAGATTTTTTGTTGTATAGGAATAATCTGAAGAACTATATAGATACAGTAGACAAGACCACAAAAACAGGCTGAAGCAGGGAGTAATGATGTCTGTACCAATTATTTTCTTTGATGAAGACTTTGGCTTTGTCTTGCTTAATCTTTTCTGTTTTCCCAAGTATGGAAACAATGAACCATATTCTTAGACGACAATAAATCATTGTGTTGCTACTGACATCAGCATGCATAGCTTACTGTGTTTTGTAGTAAACTTTAAGTTCTCCTCCATTTTTCTGAAACTTTATAGTTTAATTTAGGAAATAGTGCAAAGAATCCTCAGCCCTGGGCCACGAGCACCAAATCCTGTGTCTCTTGCATCTCTTGAAGGACCTTTATCATCCTCTGTATTTAACCCAAGGTTCAAAGCTCAAATCACATTTAATTAGCCAATTGAGTATTAATGCTACCCAGAAGAAGGTGAAAAGGAAGGCAGGCTTTTAAATGTTTTTTCCTTAATAAAATTAATAAACAAAGTGAAGAACAAACATTCTGTTCACTAATGTAACAAGCTCACGTGCACCACAAGTGCCTCTAGGAAAATGTGCCTATAGAAAAAAAAAACTTCTTTTGCCAAATGCTTTGGGATCCACATAAAAAGGAAAATGCTGCATGTTTTACAGAGGAGAAAATCTTGCAGGATAATTGTGCAGCAGTTAATGCTTCACAAGCCAAGTGACTAGGGCTAGAATTTTTCCAGGTTCTGAATCTTTACAACTTTAAGTGAAATTAATGGAAGTTACAGAGTGTTCAGCATCTCAGAAAGTCAAGCCTTTAATTTCTGGTGCTTACCGCAGCTGATTAGACATGTCACTGCACCTTTGCAGTACAGTATAAGTTTATTTCCCTACTTCTCCATCAAAGGAACTGAACTTGTTTCCTGTTCTGTGTAACCCTGTGCCTGGAATGAAAAATAATGAAGCACTCCAAAGCCAGGAAATGCTGAACTTCATTTTAGATATTAGCCTTCTACCTCTCTCCTTTTCCTTTGGTTGATGATGGCCAATACTCATCCTTTACAATACCCTAATGAGAATGCTAAAAATTTGCTTTGAAAACATATTTTTCCTGATGCACCTGTGCCAAAAAAGTGCCTCACCCAAGTGACATGGGACTGAAATATAAAGGAGAATTTTGTACATCCAGCTCCAGTATCAGAGCATTTTGGCATCAGTATGATAGTACTTTTTGTCACATAGCTTTAGAAAACACAGCCTCCTTTGCTGATCTAGAAATAGATCTATAAATACATGTACATCCAGTTGGTTAGCAGTAATGGCTGGGGTGAGGGATGGACACTCATCTGCGGGCAGGAAGGGCAAAGTGAAAACTCAGAATTCTTTAAAAATGAGTGCCTAAAAATCTGTCACTCACACCTAAAATTTTTAGGCTTATTTCTCCATACATTGCTTAGTATTTAGCTAGAAAGTGTGCAAAGTTTCTGACTGAGACGGGCCCATGTAGTGCTCAGTATCTTTTTCTGGAGCATCGTGTGAGCAGTTTTCACCTGATCTCCACACCAGACAGCTATTTGTGGGTGTTCCTGCTCCTTCCCCCTTCCCAAAACAAGGAGGTTTTGGCTCCCAAGACCTCAGTTCCTGACATTCCCTAGTGTCTTTCCAGCTGCTTGACAGTGTCAAACACCATCTTCTCCCTCCATGTAGTACATGAATGTTCAAGGCTCTGTAGGTACATGGCTCTGAAAGAGCCTGGGAACTGGGTCCAACTGTGGCAGCAGCAAGGGGTTCTCCTCAGTCTAATGTATGTGCGTACACGCACTTGTGAAACATTGGTCTGATTCCAAATTGTTGCTGTTACTCTTAATATGCTTTGATGTTACTCAAAACATAGAGCTCTAACTCTGAAGCTGACACTGCTGCAAGCAGGAGGTCAGAGCAGAACCCCTCCAGAGGTCCCTTTCCCAACTGTGCTTTTCTGGGACTAACGAAGGATGCAGGCTCAACGACATGCCAAAAATGACAAGTCATACTGCCAAATGGGAAGGTCCTCTCCTTCCTCCCTCTATCAGCTCCTCTCCATCAGCAATATTTTGGTGACCAACCCTGCTGAGCCCACTGATCAGCTGGAAACTAATCTGTCCAAAGATAATTTTTTCCACTAGGTCATTTCCCAGATTCACTCGCCCTGTGCAGCTGCACATGGATAAGGCAACAGGGTTTGATGGTGAGGACACCAAAGGGCAGGGGTTATTCCTTTTGGCCACATCAGCTTGTGTTGGCTGTGGAGGTGCAGCCTTTGCAGTATTGCAAGTCCTGAAAGATTCAGTTGACCGAATTGGCTTCTAGATCAGTTAAGCTCACTTTAAACTCCTGGGTCTGAGTAACTCTTCCCAGTGCCTTTGGAAATACATGGAGGCCCCAGCCATTCCCTTCCCCAGTTGTCCCACCTTGCTGCCCTCCATCGCCAGCAAGGGTGAGGCAGGGGCAGGGTGCTCTGCAAGACCCTCACACCCCAGATACTACCATTGCTGCTTTCACCCTCCTCTCCATCCTCTCTCCTTGCCCCTGGCATGGTTGGACTCAGCTGCCCAAGAGCTCACCCAGTGTCCATGTGGCTGAGCCAGGCAGCTCCCCTTGGAATGGTAGCCTCTACCCATTCAGCAGGGGAAGAGGGACCATGGAGGAGCCAGGCTGGTCTACAATAAACCTGTGTGATCACGCAGGTGGACTTGTGGCAGGACAGATTCTCTGAGCCGGTGATATTTCAAGTAGAGACAGAAAAAACGTGAAGTGCCTCTTGGCTGTACCACCAACCTCACCAAACCTGGTTTAGAAGCCTCACCTACTCATCAATAACCCCCTTCCTCATCAAAGGGTTGTTGTCCCCGTGCTGAGGCTGAGATGATGACTCTCCATCTTTTCCCAGAAACAGTGGAGGTACAGAGCACATGTGTCATGTCAACAGCAGGCAAAAAAAGTCTACAGGGCCCAGCCCAGACCACGAGTACAGAGGTGATTTTTGTTCTCTGGCTGATTCACAAGTCCCTATCCCAATTTAAAAACAGACCAGTTTGACTTGACTCTTTGAGGGAAAACATGTTGCTCTGCACTCCTGTCATTGAAGAGGCTGCAAAAGCTAACACATCTCAGCTGCAGCTTACCCTCCGCCTCCGTTCCCAAGCAGGACGTACCAGCATTAGAGCTTATCAGAGATCAGCAACGCTGGCTTTCAACAGCCTTGTGGTTTGTAGCATGAGGTTTCATTGCAAACTGGAACTCAAACAAATCTTCTGGGATATTTCTACTAAAATAGGAGTGTATGAATGCATAACACATTCTCTGTATGAGTGAGGGGATTACTGATAAACTCATGGGAGGTCACTAGAGCCTTCAAGGACGTGCTCTAACTTCATTTACAAGCAGAATTCTCCATCCCAGATGAGGCCAACCCTGGCCTTCAGGCAG